AGGAGGAGGAGGAGGAGGAGGAGGAGGAGGAGGAGGAGAAGAAAGAAAGAAAGAAAGAAAGAAAGAAAGAAAGAAAGAAAGAAGGCAAAAACCTTTCTATGAGAGGTTTTTTAAGCATTTAACCTGAGTTAAGCTTTGATGTAAAGAATTTATGTAACAGAAAGTTCCATGGTATCCAATTACTAGGCATAATTTTATGTTTTATGGATCAATTAAAATACATTTCAAAAGTATTAAGATGTTCTGAAAAGTCTTTCTAAGAGTCACACAACTTGTAAAAATTTCTAACTCATAGTACCAGAACAGAAAAGTATAAGGAGGCCTCAAAAACTATCCCTAGAAGCTTGAAACTTCATCTCAACAAATAAAATAAACTCAAGTTCCATACTTAGAGAGAGCCGAGCTAGACAGGAAGTGGCTTTTCCAGTGTGAAAAGATCTATTCTGGAGATTTCAGTGATTAGACGTGAAGGGATGCTTCTCTTTTGTGTCCAGGAAAGACCCAACCAGTTCTGTTCATTATAAAATCTCCCTTACACCACCGAGGCAGGGGTGTGGTCTCTACAGGAAAGTTATGTATGGGAGGACAACCCAAAGCTTCCCAAGCCATCCAAATGCAATAGCAACCAATGTTCCAGCAGATCTCAAAATCAAGAAGGAGTTAATTTTGTTTGCTACTACACGGGCAAAGGGACCATGGGTAAACGAGTAGAAGCTTCCTGGTTCTGCCTGATTTTTAAAATAAGTCTTGAAAATGTAGCCCAGACAGGGTAGTCTATCTAAAACACAGATATTGTTCAAGAGAAGCAGACCTTGTCGTGGTTTTGATTTTCAGAGCTGTGTAAAAGCAAGCTGACGTCTTTTTCAGCTTCCTATAGCCCGGGAAGTATAGCTGATAGCGCCTATGGCCCATGGTGGGTACCCAAACTGGGAACATCTTCCTTATAAGGAGACCTAGCACTGGTGAGTTCCCCTAGGTAACAGCCGACAGCACATGCCTGCATAACCAGCACCTGCGTGGGAATGGAGGAAACACCCAGCTGAACAGGGCTCTGACCTAGACAAAGCAGAGAAGACACGGACAGACAGCAGTACACATTTCCCTGTTGCTATTCCACCCCTGCCGGACTAAGAGTGATGGACAGGAGAACTACCTTTTACCAATTAATTCCAGAGGATAATTTGTAGCCTGGGCCCTTCCTTGACGATCCTGAGCTTTTAACAAACCATGACACCACTTTAATTTCTCCTTTGCCCCCATACTTTATTAAAACCTAGAGTAGGTTCCATCAAATATCCCTTCAAGGAAAAACAGAGCAAGGGGAAGAAGTGGAGCGACATTTGTCTCAACGCAATATGAAAGATTAGAATTTGCTGGAGAAAGAGGGGGAGGAGCGGCATGAATTCTAGTGGAACACACACAGGGACACACACACACACACACAATTTCTCTTTTGCAATGACCTCCTTATGCCCCATCCATCAGCCTGGGGTTGGCTTATTCTAACTAGCAGATTCCTTTCTTCTGTATAACAGGCCCATCGGACACAATCTGCATGCCAATTATTGGCACAGACCCCTTGATACCAAAAAATGGAAATTAGCTGTCAAGAAAAGCCTTCAGCCGGCCAGTCTCTTCCTGCTCCCTATTTCCAGCCCACACACACCCTCCTTCTGCCAAGCGCCCGCTCTCACCAGGGAGTCCCCAATGGAAAAAGTCATCTAAAATACAAACATATTTTATTGTTATTAGTATTAGTTGCTGACTTTCTCAGTACAATATGGAATTCACCAGTGGGCAAAAGCTGCTTAGGGCGGAACTGGGTGAGAGAGGTTGATTTCTGATAATTGCATTTCTGTGGGAACAGATCAAGGCGTCCCATGAAAGGACACTCAAAGAAAATGTGAGGATGAGGGCAAAAGAAAACAGACGAGGAATGGGATTCTGTAGCTGGGAGAACAATCCCGACTTTCACACTCAAGAATGGGCCGAGGCAGAGTTGAAGGGACAGAGGTGAGACAAGCTAGGGAGTGAGCCTGCTTGCATCCTAATTGCCTCTCTTGAAAAGCCAGACTGCGGCCAGCTGGAGGGCCCCTACACACAGAGAACACAGCAAGTGTGCTGCCTGCAAGATCTCTCTCCCCCTGCTGCTTGCTGGGACTCAGAAGGAGTTTCCTCTTCTCCTTTCGCCAAAATGAGCCACAGATGGAAGGAGTTTATTTTCTACCATCAAAGAGGAAAGTCCCTGTTGGATGTCTCTGTAGGACAAAGGAGTCCATGTTGATTACCAGGAAGATTCCAGGCAAGGCCTTCAGTCAGGGGCAAATCATCCCTGCCAGTGTAGTTCTCATTCTTTAAAATTTGTTTTTAGTAAGGAAGGCTGATGATGTCATTCAGGTAGAGAGCACTGGCCCAGCATGTGTGAGGTCCTAAGTTCAATCCCCAGCACTGAAAAAAAGCAAAAAATAAAAAGTAAGGAATAACTTTCTAATTGTTTACTATTATTTCAATTGTTTTCATTATGACATAATCCAAGACTTGCTCAAAATCTGTCTTCCTTCATTAGTAAGTAGAAAACAGTCTTCTGGGGGGTGGGAAAACTTCTTTTCTTCCCATGCATTCTGAAAGTTAAAATTGCCAGACAAGCAAACCTGACATTATTAGATGTGCATTGTTCAGAATATGGTGCAGAAACAGCTTCGATAATCCACTGTCTACAGTGAGTGTTGCTAGGGTTGGCACAGCAAAGCTAGACACAAACAATGAATGAAATGAATGCTTATGCCACCATGAGAGGCTTTGTGAGCGAGACTCATGTCTCCACCTTTAGGAACACACGGGGACCAAGTCTAGCTGGCAGCCCTCATTCTCCTTGCTTTTCATTTTGGGACTGGATCTCACTATGCAGTCCTGGATGACCTCAGACTTACTCTGTAGAACAGCCTGGCTTTGGACTCAAAGAGATCTGCCAGCCTCTGCCTCCTGAGTGCTGAGAGTAAAGACGTGCGCCCCACCAGACCCAGCTTTGGCATCCTTGTTTTGAAGTGTTATTCCAGGTTTCCTTGACGTCCACGTATTTTGTTTATAGGGGTTTTGGTTTGGTTTTTGTCGTTTTGTTTTGTTGTGTGTTTTTGTCAGGGCCAATGAGAAGGTTTACCAGGTAAAGGTGACTGGCGCCAAAACTGATGTCCTGAATTCCGTCCCCTGGGACCCACAAGATGGAGAGAGAACCAATTCCCGTAAATTATCCCCTGAGTTCCACACATATTGTACATACACACATAGAGATAGGCATACAAATAAATAAATAATGATCATCAATCTTAAAGCTAAGCAGGATGAAGCTTGGTTAATATTTGGATGGGAGAACCACGCTGGCCATGTCAGGAGACAAGCACATCTCAGATTCTAAGGTATCTGCCTGGGTTAGATGTTGACCCGTTTTGCATGACTCCCCTGAACAGCCCAGAGGCTTGAGATAAGAAGCAGAGAAGAGCAACAGTGGAGACACTGGGCAGGACGTCTTCAGCAGGATGCGTACGAGACTGAGCACAATTGGCTACTAAGAGAGTGCAGTAGAAAGGCTGAGCTGCCAAGGATGCTGGGAAATCCGGAACTGAGAATAAAATGGGGATGACAGACAGTGGTCCAGAGTTGGGGCCAAAGAAGAGACTCTAGCAACATCACAACAGCATAATTATACATGTGGGGGAGCGAACACCCAGGCTACAACCATAACACTGCTGGTCCACTGGGCATGGGAATGAAGAAGAGGACGTTGTGGTCAGGTGGAGAGGCCAGACACAAACAATGTCACACCACCATCATATCACTTACTGCACATAACTCTGCAGATGACACTTCAGGCTGTTCTGAGTGTTCTGTTGGCTTATGTACCCTAGTGAGCCTCTGGCCACGAGGAAGGGACAGACAAGGTGGCATTCCAACGGCCTCACCCTGGCTTCTCATCACTATTTAGCCCTATAAGAGAGAGAAGTGCAGATGGAAGTTTCTGTCCTGCCCAGTCCTGATGCGGGAGAATTGTCTGTATTCTGTCAATCGTATTTTAATAAAATGCTGATTGGCCAGGCAGGCAGTATAGGCAGGAAAGTCAGACAGGAAGTAGAGGTGGAGCAAAGAGACTGGGAGTATTCTGGAAAGCAGGAAGCTCCCTCTCCATTCCTGAGCAGACCACCGAAGAGACAGCATGTAACCTGCCCAGCTGAAAAAGGTACTGAGCTGTGTGGCTAACATAGATAAGGATAATGGAGTAATATATGTTATAAGAACTAATAAGAAGCCTGATCTAATGGGCCAATCAGTTTATAATCTTACGGAGTCCTGTGTGTGATTTTCTTTGGGATATGCCAGCTGTGGGATACCAGGCAGGACAGATACCCCAACAAGCCAGCCCTCATGTTACACAGTCCCACATCCGTTCAGTCCCAAATAAACACGCAGAAGCTTATATTAATTATAAACTGTTTGGCCTGTTATCTCAGGCTTATTATTAACTAGCTCTTACAATTTAAATTAACCTATAAACCTTGTCTATGTTTAACCATGTGACTTGGTACCTTTTATCAATGAGGCATTCTCATCTTGTATCCTCTGTGTCTGGCTAGTGATTGCATTTCTGCCTTTCCTCTCCCCAGAATTCTCCTAGTCTGGTTGTTCCACGTACACTTCCTGCCTGGCTACTGGCTACTTCATTTTATTAAGTCAATACGAGTGACAAATCTTTACAGTGTACAAAAGCATTAACCCACAGCAGGGAAGGGTGGTTTTATAAAAGATATTTTGACTGGCTTACCCCAAGCATGTATCTCTGCTTACAATTCATGTATCTATCCAAGCTTGTCAATGAACACCAGCACAATCTATCCAGTCTTGTTAATGAATGTCAGCACAACCTATCCAGGCTTGTCAATGAATGCCAGCACAATCTATCCAGTCTTGTCAATAAACACCAGCACAACCTATCCAGGCTTGTCAATGAACACCAGCACAAAGCACTCTTCTCCCCTAAAGAAACCAAAAATGTCACTGAAATTATATTAGGCCTCACAGGTGACATTAGTACAGCCAGACTACTGAGTATCAGGTTCCAATTTGCATGTTAGGTTCTGTTGTGCTAAATAGAAAACATGCCCTTGTCATGCCAATTAGGTAGGTGAGAAGTTCCCTGCCACAAGGCTAGCACTAGACCTTGTGAGGGCCCAGGGGCCACTTATCTACTTGCGTAGGCAAATTCTTTGCTAGCTGGCTCTAGAGGAAAATGCATCTTACATAAGGTGCGGCTCTGCAGATAAGTCTGTTGTTAATGTATTTCAGACTGCCTTCGCCACGGCTCTTGTCACGGCAACATGCAATGTACATCTGTTTTAGCGGTATGTGTTGTACTTGTGGCAAAAAAAAAAAGTAAAAGAAAAAGAGACCTCAGGATGTCATTTGTTATTTACAGTGGATGCAAAAGAAAGGAAACCTGCAGCGCTCTCAACCCATACCACATATTTCCCTGTGTTCAAAACTAAAGCATCCAGACGGCAGTGCTCTAACGTGAGGGGGTTAGAACAGAGTTTTCCGTAGATGAGCACAACCCCGTGGTACCTCTACGGTGCTATGCCTGAGCTCAATGAACTAGCTAAGTACGTGGGTTAGGGTTCTGTCTATCACCACTGTTTAAATGTGTAAGGGTGACCCCCACACACACTCAGAAGAAGAAGAGGGAGAGAAAGAGCTGGGGTAGGAGGGATTTGGTTGTGAGCTCTATCTGCTGAGGTGATGGAAAAGTGAAGCTGATGTTCTTATCTCCTCTGATCCATATTTTCTTTAATATCCAGGAACCAATCCAATGTTGAGAAACTAAGATGGACCAACCTAGTATTTGCTCCACTAGAAGTCTACCTGCTCCAGGGGAAGCCCCAAACCACACTGTTAGGGAAACAATCCTGACCCTCTTCTGGGCATTTCTGTGTCTCTGGGAAACTCACAGGAAATTGTCTTGGTGGTGTTCAGTCACCATCTCGCCATTTTGAGGGGCCCAGGAATACCAAGGCTTGAATCAAGATAACAAACAGCAAGGAATGCATCCAGGGCAACCAGGTCAGGCCCAGTCAGTCTAAGCTAAAGATGCTGGGAGAAGAGAGAAAGAGCTGTCACTTGCTGATTCCAGATGTGACAGTTCTAAGATCAAGGGATCAGGTATAACTCAGCTGGTCCAATGGTTTGCCTAGCATGCAAAAGGCCATGGGTTTCATGCTCAGTACTACATAAAATATGACATGGTGGCTTACCTCTGTAAAGCCAAAATTTGGGAGGTAGATGCAAGAAGATAATGCACTCACGGTCATTCTTTGATACGTAGCAAGTTGGAGGCCAGTCTGAACTACCTGAGTCTCTCTCTCTCTCTCTCTCTCTCTCTCTCTCTCTCTCTCTCTCTCTC